GCCGCCACAACGCCCTAGCTATTTTTCTTGGTTGCAGCTGTCGTTGTTTGGCGGGCCAGGGCTGGATTCGAACCCGCCACCTTAGGTGTATGTGGCTGATGCCTTAGCCACTTGAGCCACAGGTGCAGAGCTGACATAGTCTAGTCTATGTCATATTTACTTCCTCTAGTTACTTTGTCTTAACTGTTTACTTCCTCTAGTTACTTCATCTTAACTATTTATTTAAATGGATTTGAGGCTCCAAACAGTCCTGTTACCATAAATATTCATCCTTAAGATTTTAATTTTGATTCATTTCTTAGTTGGCTAAATTTCATCACTTCCTAAACTTTTGCCAAAATGGTTCAGGGGCTAGGGAATCGGTATTCCCTGAGTTCTTTCATATTAGAGACATTGACCTGTGGCCCTTCTATTTATAACCTCACTTTTGTAATAAATGTTCTTTTTTTTTTTATTTTTACTGCTAGACACTATGAGAGTAATGAATGTTTTTCACTTTCCCTCAGAACTTGGATAAACTTATTCCGCTGGCTTCTGCTTCTCTGACATTGTACAGAAGTCTGAAGCTATCCCAATTTTTCCCCTGATTATTTCTTACAGGCAATTTGGGGTTTTTTTCCCTCCTAGATACTTAGAGAATTCTTTCTTTAATTCCCTAACTTAAACAGGATATATGTAAATGTTGATTCTTATGTAATCATAATCAATATTGATTACTGTGTTTTCTGGTTTATGACATGCCCTTCATATCTACTTAGTTCTTTATTTCATGAAAATTTTCTTGTATTATATCTCCTAAATAGCTTTGCTATTCCATTTGAAAAATGTTCTACTTGGAATCAGTTACCCAGATGTTGGATTGACTTTCCCTAACTGTTCTTGAGTTATAGGATCTGGTTCTTTTGTAGTCTTTGATGTGTTATCTTTCTTCTTTCCTCCTTTTTGTGGCTTAGGGGCATTTTCATGGCTGTGTCATTGCCTTTATCTTGTTCCTGGTACTGTGAGCAGTCCTAACTATTTGCTCTGAGATCATGTGAATAAATTCTCCTTCATCCCTCTGATCTTATATAGTGCTCAGTATTACAGTTTGAGCTAGAATTCTGTTACTTCTCAGGCCTCTGTTCCTGCACTCTGTTTCTAAAATTTTTGCGAGCTCCTGAGAATGGAAAGCAAAGTGCAATGAAACTGACTCTGGTTATAGAAAAGAATGCATTTCATCTTCCTAGTAACTATTTCTCCCCTTCAGAATTCCTGCTCACTATATCTGCATAAAAATCTATGATACTCGGCCAGGTGCAGGGGCTCATGCCTGTAATCCTAGCATTCTGGGAGGCCAAGGCAGGTAGATCACCTAAGCTCAAGAGTTAAGAGACCAGCCTGAGCAAGAGCCAGCAAGAGCCATCTCTACTAAAAATAGAAAAACTAGCTGGGCACTGTGGTAGGTGCCTATAATCCCAGCTACTCGGGAGGCTGAGAAGCAAGAGGATCGCTTGAGCCCAAAAGTATGAGGTTGCTGTGGGCTATGATGCCACAACACTCTACCTAGTGCCCTGAGTGAGACTCTGTCTCCAAAAAAAAATTTTTTGACAGTCTACAATGAACAACATTTAATATTTTTACATGTAAAAATATGTTAAGGTTATTTTCATTTTTAAAAAATATATGATAAGGCCAGGTGCAGTGGATCACACCTATAATCCTAGCACTCTGGGAGGCCAAGCCAGGTGGATTTCTTGAGCTCAAGAGTTCAAGACTAGCCTGAGCAAAAAGCAGGACCCTATCTCTACTAAAAATAGAAAAACTGAGGCAAGAGGATCATTTAAGCCCAAGAGTTGCAGGTTGCTGTAAGCTATGATACCATAGCACTCTACTCAAGGCTATAGCTTGAGATTCTGTCTCAAAAAAATAAAATAAAATAAAAAATATATGATGGGCAGGCACAGTGACTCACACTGCAATCCCAGCATTTTGGAAGGCCAAGACAGGATGATTGCTTGAGGCCAGGAGTTTGAGATCAGCCTGGGTGAAATAATGAGAACCTATCTCTACAAAAAAATTTAAAAAATAGATGTACATGTATTTTATCCTTTCAGAATTACATTCCATTAAGACTTCCTGTGAATCTCTCATAGTTTCCAGGAAGATAATTTCCTCAATCCATTTCTTCTAACATTGAGAAGATTAACTATTAGAATCTGAACATATCAGGGGCAACATCTGTTCCTCATGGAGAGTCCCAGAACCTAGTACATAACGACACCCAGTAAGCACAACGGTGTGCTCTTTGGAGAAAAGAAGGAGCTTTAAAGGAAGTAAAACTACGATCTCATTCTTATAAAACCAGGGAAATAACCACTGAAGTTGAGAGGGTGTTTCCCCAGCAAACAGGAA